AAGAATCTTAATAAGGTTTTACGGCTGGTCTACAAAATACAAACAAAAGAACACTAACCTTCTTTAAATCTCATACCGATAGAACCAGTTCTTTTGGCTTGTTCTGAACCGGCAAGGTCTACCAGGTGAAACTTGGTACAAAGATACTCTTCTTTCAAGCTCCCATTGTAAGTACCATTTTCACGAAAATTTGTATTGACCTTGCGCATTTGCTCCACAGTGATAGTGAATATGGCATGTGAACGGAAAAAACAGACTTTATGATTGCAATATGAATTTTAATTAGCAAACATAAAAGATTTTAAGTCACCTGGACTGATTGTTTATGTTAGTTGAGTAAAAGTCTTAACACAAGAAGGAGTTTCAGATTCCTTACCAGATCCTTAAGAAATAGAAACCAACTTAGTGAGAAAGCAGATAATCCAAACAAGTTAGCCAAGAAACCAAGGAATTAAGGAAGGAAGCAAAGACAGTAGACAGCAAATCAAGTAACTAAGGGAGCTATCAACTAAAACCATAGAAACCAAAGAAAGCAAGTAAGTAACGGAAAATAAAAAAGAAGCAAAGCGGTAAATAAGTATGCACATATATATATGTATTATGTATGTATGAATGTATGCATATGGGCATGTATGTATGCATGTATGTATACATAATGCATGTATAAATGCATAATGCATGTGTGTATGCATAATGCATATATGTATGCACACATATGCATACATATGGGCATGTATGTATGCATATGAATGAATGCATGTAGATGTGCATTCCCATAAGTGATTTGCGAAAGTTGTACACCATCTCTTGGATGATTTCTGGAAGCGTCGCGATGTACGTATAATTACATAACTAAAATCTCATAGACAAATTAAAATAATAAAAATCAAATTAATAGAAAAAAATTGATTACCTGATGATTAAACATCAACAAAGCTGAGAATCAAAGAGGAAACAGCCTCTTCCTTTGTGAACGCGAATAAACCCTAAACCGTCGATCGGACTGGATCTTCTCGCAGTCAGTTACAAAGGGATCGAAGAAAACAGCGTCGTGGCGACACTTGTAAACGGCTACAAGAAAATTAGACCAAGAGTAGAAGAAGAAAAAAGAAAACCGATTCAAGTTCACGAAGAAAACGAATCATCGATGAAACCTTAAATATAATTTGGAAAAAAAAAAAAGCAAACCTCAATTTCAAAGTTTTGATTCAAAAAGCCACAATCCTCCCTCTAAACAGCTATTTGATATTCATGATCCTCCCTCTAAATGGCTATTTAATAGGTTGTTAAAAAAACGGCTATTTAAGAGTTCGATCAAGGATTTGAATTTTGAAATATAAATAACAGAAGCCTAATACGCCCAACGGTCAGCCCATTTCAGTACTCTAGTTAGATATAGTAGTAAGAGCACCATTAACGAAATGGCTGGGGGTGCTTAGTGATTTTCAAATTAAAAAAAAATGAAAATAGACAAAAGAAGGAAGCATCGGTGTTTAATTAAACTGTCTAAGCGTCGATGCTTAATCACTTTTACAGTTTAAGTTATTAAAAAGAATAAACACATGTAATTGAGTATTTGAGTTAATGGTTCTCTAACACTAGTCCTTTTAACAAAAAAGACCATCATCGAACTTGACACATAGCTTTGTCTTCTTGGTCTCTTCCCACCTCCCAAATACATTTTTGCAGATTGGAGACGATCCAAATGGATTATCATCTCTCGATACTTTAAATATATTGAAATAATTATCACCTTTGGAAGTAAGAAACCTTTATCACCTTTGGAATTCGATGTTGGCCCTTCCGCTGCAGCATTTGAAACATCTAATGCTGATGCGAAAAAAACAAGAGTAGATGAGATCATATACATCACCAATATGCAATGTTCTTGTTTTTTTCATCGATACGGGCCAATACAATTATCAGTTTTTTAATATATGTTTTGTCGATTAAAACTGAACTGGCTACGTAAAACTATATTACATTTTTGCTTTATGATATTCTCATTACATTATTTTCATAAAGTGTGTTGTCGTTTTTTTGTTTGACAAAATGTTATTTTGAGGTATAAATGTTTTCGGAAATAGATATTTACTCTAGAGCACATTAATAGACTAAGGTTTGGTGTAAGGCTAGTTACAATGGGTATGTTGAATTATGTTTTCAACTGCTTAGGGCATGATTAACGCTGAGATAGGTCTGCACAGTTTCATAGGTAAGTTTTTTTATTTTTTATTTTTTATTTTTTGTCTGATTAAAAATAAATTAAAAGGCGTATCAATCACGGACTATCACGTGTCCGTGGAACCCGTGAACAATGTAAGAAACGAAGAAAGATCGATCTTTATTTTGTGGTTTTTGTGACCGGTTTCTTTTATTTTAGTGGGATCCACCCAATATTTTATATTTTTTCTTAAGTACTCTATTGCCAAAGATTTACAATAATACTGCTCTTTAATAGCTCCAATGAGGTAGTTGAAAAAACTAAAAATATGAGGTAGATTCATTGTAGTTGAATACTTTCAACGGGTTGAATGTACACAAATGGGGTCCATTTTTATTGCTTTTCAGTTTTTAGCTCATCTTGAATAGTTAAACTCTTTTATCTTATAATAGATATTTTTGTTAATTGAAAAATTATATGAAAATTTATCAATTTTTGTTACTTATAAATAGAAACTTGGTTATTTAATTTAAATACATAAAAAGAAATTTTATTAAACAATATAAAATGGTTATGTATGCTGTTGAAAACAAAACCATTGTAATGTACAAATTTGAAAAAGTGTTGAATTAATAGGTGGAAGTGAGAGTAAGTGATGTGGAAGGTTAAGACATGTAATTTAGAGTGTTGAATAATTTTTCTGTTATAGATAGTCTTAGTCTCTGTAATGATGAGACATCAGCATGAAAAAAATAAAGGGGTTAACACATAAGCAATGTCACTGTGTAATTAATACAAAACTAGATAATAATCCAGAAAATAAAATTATTAATTTTATTATTTTTAATAGATAAAGATATTAAATATGTTTAATCTGGATATCGATTTGGTTTTAGGTTGTTTATTTTATTTTTAATCTCATAATAAATAATATTCTAAATTCATATTTATTTTGGTTTTTTGATTAAAATGTTTGGTATTTTTTTCTAATGCAAAAATTATTATTATTTGTTTAATTTTATGTTATATGAATTTTAGATTGTCATGATGTCGAACCAATGATTTCATATTATAGTTTAAATGTATGCAAAATCAAATAAAATCTAAATTATCGTTGAAAAAATATAAAATTATTAAGACAAATCATTTCATTACAATTTGGTCGATGGTGAAAGAAAACATTGAAAACGATATTCCAACTTCCAAGAGAATTAGAATATTCAGTTATGGAGTAGTTCATATCAATGTGCACATGTATGTGTATGTAAAAGTATATAAGGTGGTTAATAAATATATAAAGATATATTTTTTTGCAAATAATCTTTCTATGTGGAAATTTTGTATAATCTATAGAACCATGTATGTTAAAATTCTATAAAAATACTCCAACTAAATTTCGTTAACCTTTTTAATACCCAAACTTTTTAATACCCAGTTTAATGCCAAAAATAAATTATTTTATTCATTTTAATATGCAAACTTTTAAAACTATGCTCATTTTAATATATAAACTTTTTTCTTTAATTAAAAATAGTAATAAATTTCATACAAAAATTTAAAAATTTCTAGAATTTACAAAAAATCTCAGAAAATTCTAATTTATTTTCTTTTTTTTTAGAAATAAAAGTAGCTAAACTGTGTATAATATCAATTTTTTAATAAATTTATAATTTTAATATGAAATTTAGTTTTTTCTGAAATAAAAAAAATATATATTTACTTTAAAATCAAATTTTAAAGTTTTAAAATTTTCTTGCTAATTTATTTAGACTCTTTACAAAATCTTAAAACTAAATTAGAAATTTTTCTTAGATATTAGAGTTTTTTTTTTTTTTTTTTTTGAGATCCACCTCTGAGATCAAAGGAAACAAGCAGAGGTGGATCTACGAAGGTTTTTTTAACTGGGGACACCAGGACAACCTCAATAGTTACAAACCGTATTGAATATGTTAAAGTAAAAAAAGATTAATAATTTTAACTCAGAAAATAAATTGACCAATAAATAAATGACACATTAGGGAAAGATGTTTTAATGTTAAGAGAAAAGTATCTCCGCACCCATGTCCTCCTATGCCCTCGGTCTTATCATTTCATCTTTTTCAATATTTTCTATTTTTTTAGTTCTAACATACTTGCTTAGAAACAACATAAAAACATTTTTTGATGGGGGTACTTTTACATTTTTCTTCACTAAACAATAGATATTTAATAAATTAACTTAAATTACTAAAAAAAAAAAAGTCAGTTGGGGGGACGTGACCCGTACCGCCTTGCTTACATCCGCCCCTGAACAAGGCACCTAAACTCAGCCTGAGCTCTTTACACAAGTACATGTAATTATGGACAAGATTACTTATCGTGACAAAAAAACAAGATTACTTTTCGTGACAAAAAAAACAAGATTAGTTTTATATTATTACTGTACACCTTCGAAAATGTGGTTGTTCTCTTTCACTTTTTTTTTGAGAAATTTGGGTGGCTCATTTACTTGCTTACAAGTTTCTCAAGATAAGTCGTATATGAGCTCTGAATCAAGCTCAATGAAGTGGAATATCAGTGGGAAAACAAATTCAAATGGAGTTAGAACCTCAGCTTGTTTATGTGGACACATAAACCCTACTAAGAAAAAAAAAATTATACATTCTAAAATTATGAAGAATCGTATTATTAATTAATTTTGATTTGTAATAGCAATAGTCTTTTTCTTTTCTTGCAATTTATTCATTGTCCCATCCAAAACAGTAAGGACGATATCTATTGCGATTAATACGACATATAGAGGATTTACCGTTACTTCTCACCTCCCAAATGCATGTTTTACAGATTGGAAACTTACCAGCTAGAGTATCGTCTCTTGATACTTTAAATATATCAAAATAGTGAGATCCACCTCCATACCACGTAAAATGGCAACGATACTTCGTAGTTTTCGAGAAGTTAACATGAAATCTGAAATCCCAATATTGGTTCCAAGGGATATGGATCATCCCCAAATCATCCTCACTAGATTTGCAATGTACATTCAGAACTTGGCCGTTCTCTACGGTGTTGCGGATTACAACATGCTTTCTTGCTAAAGGTAAGATGGAATCATCGCCTGATTGTGATGTTCGTGCATCCGCCACTACGTTTGAGACATCTAATGCTGATGCAAAAATAATAAGAGTAAAAGATGAGATCATAAACATCAATAGGCAATGAAGTTTATTAGAGAAAACCATCGTTATGTAATTTGGTTGATTCGACTCTTAGATAAGTGAATATTGGTTTCCTATTTATGGGTGTCAACAAAACATATATGAAGTGGTGACTAAATATTTATGTAAAGTTGAATCGTGCATTTGTATTGTTTCCCCTTTGAAGCTACATGTTTATTATTAAAACTAAGAATTATATATATTTTTGTAAGAAAATCTATTTTGGTTTACTTCTAATATAGTTTTGGAAAGAAATTAATTAATTTTGGTCTTGACTAAAGACTTTTGACTTATTAAAAATATTAAAGATTTTACACCATTGATAAACCATTCTAAACCGTTTTACCTTAGATTGTTAGTCACATTTTATTTTTATTTCTCTACAAGATCATTTCTCAATGGGATCATTTCATTTTTGTAATACTATATGCTCTGAAAATATGTTGTTGAACTGTTAAAAATATTAATGAATAAAGGTATCGGTAATGAGTTTAAGTAACGAACTAGATTTTAACCCGCACATTCGTGTGGATATTTTATCATTTTATAAATATATTTGATATTATTATAAATATTTTAAATATATAATTTATATTTTAATATTACATATGTGTACCTCTGTTTATTATTGTTTATATTTCTTATTCGGCATTATTAAAATATAGTGCTTTGTTTAATACACTTTATTTTTTTTATTAATATTTATTATTTACTAATATGGTTTCGAGTTAGGTATAATAAAATAACAGTATGAAATAATTAAATAGATAACCTCTTTTTAAAAAAAAATTACTTTAATTTATACATTTTCTATAATATATTTTTCAAAATTTATTTATTGACATTTTAGAAAATACAAATGTTTAAGATAGTTTATATTTACATGTTGTGTAAAATAAAATAAAATGAAATTTAACCTATATTGTTTTATTATTTTACGGGATTTATAACTAAAAAAATATTATGTTTAAATAATAGAGCCCTATTATTTTAGTAAATTTTATACATAGTAGCATCTGTCATATTATTTTAGTAAATTTTATTGATGTAGGAGATTTTTTAATCATATTAGGTTTTATTTTTTTATCTAAGATATCAAAAGGTTATTCTTTATTATCTACGATTTTATCTTTGGTAAAATTTGAAAAAATCACACTACTATTTTCAGTTTGGAGGATTAAATGAATTTTGAATTTCTTTTTGTTACTACATTAGTAAATTATTTTATAAAATATGTGAATTTTGGGCAATATTTGCTAAGTTTTTCTCAACAGATGTTGTTATAATTAAAATGAAATAATTATAAGTAAAATATGATTTTTCATTATTATTTTAAATGAATTACTAAAATTGCATAGTTTTATAATAACATTTTTTAAATAGTATACGAACTAAAGGTTATTATATACTATTATATTTTTGTATATAAACATTTTATATCTATATTGTTGTAGATATAAAGGTTAACCTATGTTAATAACTTTTTTTTATAAAACTATTACATAGTTTAGTTAAGTTTACAACTTTTAACCCATTTTGATGATGAGTGATAATTTGTTTAAATGAAATCATTTTAAAAATAAAAAAAATTTAATTTACAATATTTAATATAATTTTGTCATATTTAATTTATATAGCATTTCTATTTTTATATAATACATAATATAATTATAGAATTTGTAAAACAAAATAGTATTTTATTGTTTTATAATAAAACTTTAGTGAACATTGATTTATAAATATTTTACATTATTAGTTACGAAATTAATTAATATGCTATTATATAAATACAATTTAAAATTTTAAGTAAGATTTTCTTAGATTCTTTCTCAACAGATTTTATTATAATTAAAAGTAAAATTCAAATTTATAGTTAGTTTCTTATTGATGTAAATAATCAAATATGTCATATTAACTAATTTTTTAAATGGTCCTACTATGACTTGTTAATGTTAGATAAAAATTAGGACCCTAAATTAATAGATTAATTAGATAATAGACACAATTTATAATCAGTCAAAGCGTTCGTGCACCCCCAACAGCGTTTGAGACATCTAAGGCTGATGAAATAATGAGAATAAAAATAAAAATAATGAGATCATCAATAGGCAATGAAGCTTATTAGAGAAAGCCATTTTTATGTAAATTATATGTGGAATGGATAGTTAGATAAGTGCATATTGGTCCATAAATCCAAATACTAAAATTTGAAGAGGTGACTAAATCTTTATGTAACGTTTAATGCATGTATTTAGTATTTGGATTCATAGATACATTGATGTGTAGATTTTTATTACTTACATTTGAAAATATGAACTGTATATTTTTGGTAGAAAATATGATTCAGAGTAGTTCTTCTCTCTGTTAGTGAACCAGTTGTTGAATTGGTACCTTCCTTTCAGAACTTCCCCAATGGAATGGAAGCAAGAGGTACATGTAGATTGCGAATAGTGTCACTGAGCAAGTTGTGTTCTGCTTCACTCATGGGTTGGTGGGTCAAAATGTGATGAATTGCAGACCAAGATCAGATATTTTTACCTGTCTTCCCGCTCTTAGGAAGCCAGACAATATGCGTACTGTAAGCATCACTTTAACCTCATCTTCCTTTGACTTTCCCATGAGGTTTCAAATAGCTAACTGTGTTCTGTTACGTTGATCAAGGGGTGGAACCTGCAAGGTCTAACTCCTTCCGTGAAGATGGAGAAAAATGGTGGCTTCCATTGCCGTGTGTGCCATCCAATGGACATACAGAGCAATCTAGAAAGAAGTTAGACCACACTCGCGATTTACCTGACCAAATCTTGAAAGCTTGTAGTGCCAATTAACAGTAACAAGATTTGCATTCATTAGCTTTTTAATCTCAAATCGTATTTGGATCTTTTGTTATTCTTGTGTTTATATATAAGCACTTCGTTAACAGTTGATTTGATCTAATATGCAGCTTATGCTGCTGCCCCTACTCTGGATTTCTAAACCGTCCCCTCTCCTGTTGAACAATATATATTTTCATTACATTCAGGGAAATGTTCTTTCACTACTCGAACTCACTATAACTTAGATCATGGGTCTGATCATGGTCACTTACACAACAGAGCAAGCATAGTGTTTTTGTTTTTTGGCAACTGATAAGAAATTAAGTAAGATGAAATAGTATCCCACGTTGAATAAGAGGGGGAACAAAACAATGCTGTATAAGTCGTTCCAAGAATAATAATGAGCTTATGCTTTTTCAATACCACTAACAGGTGTGCTTCATTATGATGTAAACTATAAAGTACCATTACAATTATTCATAAAGCATCATTTCACATAGACAACATTAGACAAACATTACAATCATCAGAAAGAGGCTTGTCTTTAGCTTTTGCGTTTTACGTATACAAACAAATCATCATGCCAAGAACAAGTCACTCCTCGTTGATACAATATACTACACAGTACACACTCTTTAACTCTGCAAGGGTTATATAGTTTCATTCAGATTTCATATTAACGTTAGACCATGATGTCTTTTTATTCCCTGAAAAATCGTTACAAAACTGGATCAGACATATCTGTATAAAATTAAGAAATAACATATTTTTTTCCTAATAATGTAGAGGCCATAACCAATGTTTCGTAAAGCTCTATCGGATAAAAAATAAAGAATAAAAAAATAAAGCTCTATCGGACTGGAAATGATCATTTGTGTGACCTAAAATAAAATCTAAACTCTATACCAACAAAAGGTAACTTCAAGTAATTTGATAAGCTAATATGGGTATCCACTATATTAAGATTTAAATTTTTATCTTTAGGTGAAGAATAATCTTTAGGTGAAGAAACTACGAAAAAGCATGAGATCTTACGTAATACTTATGGAGCTTCTATTTTATTTAATAAGTACCTTAGCAGTTGCTCAAAATCAGGATTGCATGTCATGCAGTGCATGTTAGTAATAAAGCGACCCTGCATGCACCAAATATGATAATCTTATTATAAATAGAACTAATAAATTGTGCAAAGAATGTAAAATGAACCTTCTCAATTAATTTTTTTTTAAAAAAATTGGATAGGAAAAAAACGATACCTTCCCACCAGTTTCCTCTTGATGCGCTTTTGGAATCGCCTTCCTCTCCATCTTTCTTGTACTGCATAAGTTAAAGATAAAGAAGAAAAGCAGAAAAATCTTGAAATTAATAATACATAGGTGCTACACATACATGAAACGAATATAAGTTTTGTTACGTTACTCACGTAGGTGTTATGTGTATGATAGGTGCGGCAACGACTTACAGTATCTTTGTTAGTATTCGTTGTAGAGGAATACTTCTCTTGGCCTCCATAGTAAATTGAAGAGCTCAAGTTGCATGGTGGTTCTGTTTCCTCATTATGGTAACTGTTTTTCTCCTTTATGTCGGTTTTTTTCCCTCGTTCATCTTTATGTTATTACCACAAACGTATATAAGTTTTCGATATGAGAGGAAAAAAAAAACTAAGTTTGAATTAAGAATTAGTAAAAATATTTAATGAATCTAGACCGCAAAATATAGACTAATCTTTTAACTCTGTGAAAATGGATTTCCTACAATTTGAACCGTTCATGTAACCAACTTGAAATAGAGACCACAACCTGGATTTTAAAATTTCTGAAGCTAATGAATATAGCCTAATCCTACTATATCTATTACAAAAACAAATCATGAAAGATTAAGTAGTCTTCCTTTGTCAAAAAAAAAAAAGATTAATTACTTGCAGATTGATATTTCACATGTCCACCTTGACTTGCAAAGTCCATTTGCCTCCTCAACATCCCCTTTTAGTTCACAAGAAGAGAGAATTAGAGAGTAGATCAGCATAATTTTGTGTATTAATAATCTAACGCCCGTCAAAATTCGTAACATGCATATCTTTAGAATGATTCACGTATGCCTCAGATGTAAAAATATCGATATTAAGTACCGCAGAGGGTCGTGGGAAGATGGATGTGAACAATCCAGTGGTTGCTGCAGAAGACGAAGAAGAGACTCTCGGACCAAATATATGATCGAAAGAAGAAGAAGATGAAGCAGCAACAACCTTCTTCTTGTCCATGCCAAAGTTAAGTAGGTGGATATATGTATGTATGTAAGTCTTAAAGGGTTTTTATTGTTGGAGATGAATCACAAAAAGGACCTTGGGATGCAAAAAAAAGAAAAATTAAAGGATTAGATTTGCAGAGAGAGGTGAAGAAAGAAGAGAACATGTGATGGGCAAAAGAGAACACGTGAAGATTTGCAGTTGTTTTGTTAGACTCTTATTAACTGTCGCCTATGCATATATATAGTTGAAAACTTTGACTACATGTGATCTGGCTTATAGATCATTTGTCGCCTATTTCAAATCTGACATTTTCTCGTTATTTGTTGGTGTTATGTATGTCATGTGAGGATGAATGGATATGTTTCAAAAGTATTAATAAGGATGAATAAAATATCAAAAATTTTACAGGAAAATATTTATAATTTTGGTTATTAGTTGCATATAGTTAGAGAGATTCAGCCAAAATATATAGTTAGAGGCCTCTTTGTCAAAGCGTTTTCTAAGAACGGCTAAATAGTTTTGTTTTTTTCAGAATGTATTCAAATTTTGTTAATCATAGATATCTGATACACTATATTTCTTCAAAATCTTAGACGATGTCAGCAGAAGTCTCTTTGCCCGAAGGCCCCGAACAAATACTTTATTTAAAAATGTCAGAGGGATAAATAGGCGGAAAACATATTGTTTTGTGGAGTTTAGTCTCTCAAATCCGGTGTGATCCGGTAGAAAAATTTCCAAGCATGTTTTAAAAGGATACGGATTTGGGATTATATATGTTCGTTTATAAGGGTTTGCTATATTTATTTTATGTCGTCCGCTCTTTTATTGTAGAGCCAGAGAGTGAAAAAGAGAGAACAGTTAACTTATAATAAGAACTATGGATTTAATCCACAAAGGTGATAAATGGACGTCATGTCCATGCTGAGAGTGAACCACTATAAGTTATGTGTATTTTATCTCTTACTTTCATCGTACTAGTTGCATACTCCCCGCGCAAGCGCGTAGCCGGAATCATTATGTTTGCGTATATTTTTTTTGATTTAGTGATTTAGTAGATTCTTCTAATGACACCAAATATTAATGAAATGAAAAGAATGTAGTAAGAGTGTAAAGTGAAAATATTGTATATCTAATGTGTTAAATGTTATTTATCTGCGAATTAAGATTTATAGGAACAGTTAGGTTATAATATAGTTTTTAGTGTGTAAAAGTAGGTGTCTATTTTTTTTTTTGCTGTAAATAGTTTTTATATCGTATGTCAAAACTTAATATAATTCTATATTTATAGTATTTATATTTGTATTAAACGATTTATCAATTTAAAAATAACCTTAATTAAGTTAATATTCGTTGTTTAAGTTTCATTAGATAGGTTTTTATATATGATTTTGTAAGTTTGGGTTTTGTTCATAAATGATGGGGCATTTTTATCTACGGCGTCATCGAGGAATCTATTCGCCGAAGTCTAGAGTCGGTGATGAAGAATGTTTTCAATGAAATTATAGTAGTTATTAAAATGTAAGAGAAATTACATATTCATTTAATAAATAACAAAAAATACTTAAATTTTGTTGTTTATTTTATTTTATTTCACATACAATTTTTTTGAAAATATATTAGGAATGAGTTAAATGTTATTTATATGCGAAGTAAGTTTATAGCAATAGTTAGGCTATAATATAATTTTTAGTGTGTAAAAGTAGGTGTTTTGTTTTTGCTGTAAATAGTTTTTATATCATAGGTCAAAACTTGATATAATTCTATATTTATAGTATTTATATTTGTATTAAACGATTTATCAATTTGAAAATAACCTTAATTAAGTTAACATTCGTTTTTTAAGTTTCAATAGATAGGTTTTATATATGTTTTTTTGTAAGTTTGAGTTTTGTTCATAAATGATGTGGCATATATTTTTACGGCGTCATCGACTGTGGGAATCCATTCGCCAGAGTCTGAAATCGGTGGTGAGGAATGTTTTCAATGAAATTATAGTAGTTATTAAAATGTAAGAGAAATTACATATTCATTAAATAAATAACGAAAATAATTAATTTTTGTTGTTTTTTTATTTTATCTCACATACAATTTTTTGAATATATATATTAGGAAATATGTGCAATGATTTCACTTTTTTGCGCTCTTAATCTATATTATTCAAGCCTCATTAAGCCATTCACGTAGGTAGCCGCGTGGGATTCACTTTTTTTTTGGTCGGTTCGTTTTTGGATTCATTTTTTATTATTTTTGGGTTGAACTATATTATAATAGGATAGTTTTAAGGCTCTTTAAGCCATCCTCGTAGGCAACCGCGTGAGACTTGCTTTTTTATTGTTTTTTATTGTTTTTTTTTGCATCCATTTTTAACTATTTTTAGTTTGAACTCGCTAAGCTTTAAAGTTAATTCAACTATTTTGATCTTTAAAACAATAAGTCATAAAAAAAAACATAAAAACCTTACATACAAAAAGCCCATATGATAATAACCCAAATTAAAAAATCAAATATAAAGATGGCTGCATGGTTTGAACCCACGATCTTGCATGCTTAATTAGACACCTTATACCACTTGGCTAAAGTGTATTTCATTGTTTGTAATCATCTTACCAAGACTATAAGTTTTTAAAAAATATCTATGGGACCCATAAAACTGCTGACGTGGCGCGTTGTGGAGCCTAGAAAGTGTACTATTATAATATAGATTATGCGGGTGATACCATTATTTTTTTTTTTTTAGTTCCAGTTACTAATAATTTTTTTTGTTTTTTAATTATTCTTATTTTATTCAGAACTGCATTACATGAAGGCCCGGCACAAACACCTATATACAAGAACCAGGCCAAACAAAAACTATCGCCATAACTCAAAAACGCCACAACGGCATAAAAAACCAACCTGCCCAAGGAGTTTACCCTGCAAACAATGAAAGCCAACAAGCTAAAACCGAATTTTGTCCTACCGCCAGAGTTTGTCTTCGAGCCAAAGGATCCAGTGCAAGTCTCACAATCTGCTGAATCTCTGCTATAAAGGTGCCTGGAGGTTTCACCTCAGCTGAATGAATTCTTTTATTCCTCTCCTTCCAAATCAAATATAGGACAGCTTGGTGGATAAGTCTCACAATAAGGGTCACGTTTTTATCACTAGAAGGCGCCACTAACCATCTCAAAGCAGCTTCGAAACCTTGAGGAGGAGTATGGTTAAGCCTAGAGACAAAGAAACTCCAAACCTGATTACTGTAAGGACAATCAAAGAATAGGTGTTGACGACTCTCTTCATGACCAGAACAAAGAACACAGTCGGGAGACACCATCAATCCCCAACCAATAAAGCTATCCCATGTAACCATCCTATCTCGTGATGCAACCCATGCAATAAAGGCATGCTTTGGGATCCTACCCGAAAACCATATCGCCTTATGCCAAAATACTTCAATCTGGTATGGATGTAACACTCTCCATGTAGCGCTAGCAGAAAAACTACCATTCCCACGCCCCATTTCTGGATACCAGACGTAAGTATCGTCCACTTCAGAACTTATCAAATCCTGAGCATTAGGCAGACAAGTCTGAAGAGTCAAAATGATAGGGTTTCTACTCCTGCTACGATCCAACCACCAGCCGTCACTCGTTAAGGCGTCTGCTACCACCGCATCAATACTTAATCCGGAAGTCTGAGGCCCTCTCTCTCCTACCAGCTCAATAAGAGGACCAAAGGAAGTCCAATTATCAAACCAAAAACTGGCAGTGATTCCCGAACCCACTTCACAATACACCATAGGTCTAGCCAAAGGTCTCAGCTTACAAATAGCTCTCCAAACGCAACTGCCCTTTCTACTTGGATTTAGGACCCAAAAGTTATCTCCGCCAATCAAGTGTCTTCTCACCCACGAGATCCACAGAGATCCACTGGCCGTAAAGATCAGCCAAATTAGTTTCAATCCAAGCACATTATTCCATCCCTCTAATCTCTTCAGACCAAGACCTCCAGCTTCTTTAGGAGTACAGACCGAGTCCACGAAATCTTTGCTCCCCTAGCAGAGTTTGGCACCCCTTTCCAGAGGAAAGCACCACACATCCTCTCCAGGATCGACACACACTCTTTGGGAATGATGAAAATGGAAGCCCAAAAAGAGATAGTGGAATAAATTACTGCCTGAATGAGTTAAAATCTACCAGCAAAGGACAAATGCTTGACTGTCCAGGAGTTGAACCTAGCAGTGATTTTGTCTAACAGAGGCTGGAAATCCGTTCTCGTCATCTTCTTTGGAGCTAGAGGAACCCCCAAATATCGTATCGGAAGGGCACCTTGTTCAATGCCCAACTCAACTGCCAACTCACGATATCGGTTAGAATTCCCTCCATCAAGCATCAACTCAGATTTATGCCTATTAATCTTCAATCCCGAAATCACTCTGAACTCCTCAAGAATGTCCAAAATTCCCCTAAGAAAGTCAGCTCTGCCATCGAAGAAAATTAAAACATCATCTGCAAAGCTCAAATGAGTTATCAACGGGGCATCGCACTCAGGATGGATACCGAATCTCCCATTAATCGCTCATTTGTCCAGCATTTTAGAAAGAACATCCATTGCTATCACAAACAGCAACGAAGAGATGGGATCTCCCTGCCTTAAACCCTTCTTCCCCGGGAAAAAACCCTGTAATTCCCCATTCACGGCGATAATGTATGACGGTGTAGAAACACACTCCTTAACCCATCCAATGACCACATCAGGGAATTCAAGAGACTGCAGCACTTTAAACAGAAAATCCCAGCTAAGATTGTCATAAGCCTTAGAGATGTCAATCTTAAGACAACCCCTAGTAGTCGGGCCAATGTCATTAAATTCCTTGACTAACTCAGTAGCTAACAGAACATTCTCGCAGAACAGTCTATCTTGGACAAAACCCACTTGATTCCTCTGAACAATGTCTGCCACACAAAGCTTCAGTTTCCTTTTTAGAATCCTCGCCATGACTTTATAAATGGTAGTGCAAAGCGAGATAGGCCTGAAGGCAGAAAGCTGATCCGCGCCTATGACCTTAGGGATAAGAGAAATTGTCGTGGTGTTGAGCTGCCTCAACATATGGCCAGACACAAAGAATTCCCATACGGCTTCCACCGAGTCTTTCCCAACGAAATCCCAAGTCTCCCAAAAGAACTCCGCAGAAAACCCGTCCGGGCCTGGAGCTTTGTTCTTAGGCATGGCAAGC